TTGGATTACCTTTCTGAACTCTGATCATGCCTTGGTCTGACTAAGGAACTTACGGCGCTGTTTACAAAGGCCAGTGTATGACATGGTGTCGTGGTATGAAAAGAAGCTGGCTTCTGCTGGTCCTACACGGCTCCCTGACTGGGGGCCGTGAGATGGTGCGGCACAGTAGCTAGAAACGTTATCAGACATGGTTCAGAATAGAAGCCAGTGGCGATCCTACCGTAATCTTTTTTTACTTTCTTCGTAAAATGTGGTTGTATATTCATTTACTGAAAGATTTCTTCTGATTTTACGTTTTTGCTCCCCATTATTACTATTATCAATACTACACTACCTTACACCAATCTCTTTGTTATTATTCTTTTTTTACGCTCCTTACCTTCCTTTCTCTTCGAATTCTGATTGTTTTGCGTGGCGCATATATATTGGCGCTCTCTTGGACCAATATTTAAGTGTTCAAATAAATAACAATAAGTAAAATTTAGCTAAACTACAAGTATACGATGCAGATCTGAAGGCATGCAAAGAGAAGTCTAATTTGAATCTTAAACCTTTACCCATTTTTTTATCAGATGCATCTATCATTTGCGACACTTCAACGGGTAATAATCGCCCTTTTGTGCCACAACCTTGTCGACGAAAAATATTTCAACAGCTGCATGGACTGTCATATCCAGGCATCAGAGCTCCACAAAGCTTATCACAGAACGTTTCGTTTGGCCAAAAGTCAATTCGGATATTAAACATTGGACACGTGGCTGCTTACAGCGCCAACGCAGCGAAATCAAGAAGCACACCATTAGCACGATCGGGGACTTTCCTATCCCCGACAAACGTTTTCAACATATTCATTTATACTTAGTTTGGCCCCTGCCATCGTCAAATTGCTTCACTCACATTCTCACCGCGGTCGACAGGTTGACAAGATGGGCTATAGAACGCTCATTCAAAGACACTTCTGCTGAAACAGTTGCATCCGTTTTCCTTGACCGCTGGATATCGAACTATGAAGTACCTTCGATAATCACTACAGGTCGTGGTCCCCAGTTCCAGTCTATCTTATTTCAGGAATTCACAAGACTTCTGGGCATGAACCACATCAAAATTACAACCTATCACCCAGCAGCTAATGGTTTGGTCGAAAGGTTTCACTGCCAATTAAAAAGCTCGCTGATGGCACAGGAAGATACAACAAAGTGTAGTGACGCATTACCACCCGTACTCCTGGGAATCCGGTCAACCATAAGGGAAGATGTAGGTTGTTTAGCCGCCGAGGTAGTTTATGGTACAACTCTTACATTATCAGGTCAATTAGTAGACCCAAACACATCAGTACCAACGGACCCAAGCCGTTTCGCTAGTCAACTACTGCAAACCATAGAAAGAATCAAAGCCATAACGCCGCGCGAACATAATAATCGAACACAACTCAACAAAAATCTAGAAACGTGCAAATTCGTCTTCAAGTTGTTGCTGTTAAAAAGCCACTGAAACAACCCTACGATGGACCATATCAAGTTATTAAAAGAACAAACAAACACTACATAATCAACAAGAGTGGAAAGAAGGAGTCTGCCGCTATCGATAGAATAAAACCTGCTTTCAAAATATATATACAAATGTATTTTCGTTGATATGGGCTTACTTTGTTTTTACATAACTCCGCTTGTAGCTCTTCTAGAGTTACTGCCGGTCCTAAGCCCGGGTAAAGGAGGAGGGTTGGGCATGGGGTTAGCGTCCCCATCCCGTAGAAAACTAACTCGCTAAAAAAACGCTTACCAGAAAAAATAATTCAAACCATTTAAACTCTGCCCTGGGAGTTAGAAGGTCTTCATTTAGAAGAATTATGACGCTTCATGGTGAAAGCCGAGTTCCTTCGGAAGCCACGAGGCCGATGCCCCTTCTAACAACCAGAGCAAAAATTTTTATAGGTACATGGAACGTTCGAACAATGTGGGAAACCGGGAAGACCAGTCAAATAGCAATGGAAATGAGGAGATACAACTTAGCAGTACTGGGAATCAGCGAAACCCACTGGACCCAAGCTGGACAGAAAAGGCTAGCTACGGGAGAGATGCTGCTATACTCCGGTCACGAAGAGGAAAATGCTCCACACACTCAGGGAGTCGCTCTTATGCTGTCCAAAGTAGCACGAAATGCACTTGTAGGATGGGAATCTCACGGATCCAGAATCATCAAAGCATCATTCAAAACAAAGAAGGAGGGGATCTTAATGAATATTATCCAATGTTATGCACCCACCAATGATAGCAACGACGACATTAAAGATCAGTTCTACGAGCGGCTGCAGTCAATCATTGAGAAATGCCAAGAAAGGACCTAACTATTCTGATGGGAGATCTAAATGCCAAAGTCGGAATAGACAACACTGGATATGAAGATATTATGGGACGACATGGACTGGGAGAGAGGAACGAAAATGGAGAAAGATTTGCAAATTTGTGTGCATTCAACAAATTAGTCATAGGAGGCACAATATTTCCACACAAACGTATACACAAGGCTACATGGATCTCACCGGACCACACTACAGAGAACCAAATAGATCATATTTGCATCAACAAAAAATTCCGAAGGACAATGGAAGATGTGAGAACCAGGAGAGGTGCTGACGTAGCTTCAGATCACCACCTAGTTGTAGCCAATTTAAAACTGAAGCTAAAAAAGAACTGGACAAGTGGACAAACAGCACTACAAAGGTTCAATACAGCCTTCCTTCGAGATACTGACAAACTCAATGAATTCAAGATAGCTCTCAACAACAGGTTCCAAGCCTTACAAGATCTACTGAAGAAGAAGAAACTACTATGGAGGACAACTGGAAAGGCATCAAGGAAGCATTAACTTCAACGTGTCAAGAGGTTCTGGGCCTAAAGAAACACCATCATAAGGAATGGATCTCTATAGAAACACTGGACAAGATCAAAGAAAGGAAGAACAAGAAGGCAGCAATTAACAACAGCCGAACACGAGCAGAGAAAGTCCAAGCACAAGCTGAATACATAGAAGCAAACAAACAAGTGAAGAGGAGCATTAGAGCCGACAAGAAGAAATACGTGGAAGAACTAGCAACGACGGCAGAAAAAGCTGCTAGAGAAGGAAATATGAAACAGCTTCACGATACAACGAAGAAACTAGCAGGGAAATACAGTAAACCAGAGAGGCCGGTCAAAGACAAAGAAGGCAAGCCAATCACCGAAATTCAACAACAGCGTAACAGATGGGTAGAATACTTCGAGGAACTCCTGAATAGGCCGGCTCCAATGAATCCACCGGACATCGAAGCAGCACACATAGATCTTCCTATAGATGTCAACCCACCAACGACGGAAGAAATTAGAATGGCCGTCAGACAAATCAAGAACGGGAAAGCAGCAGGACCCGACAACATACCAGCTGAAGCACTGAAATCAGACATCGAAGCAACCACAAGCATGCTTACCTTCTATTCAAAAAGATTTGGGAGGAGGAACAAGTGCCGATGGACTGGAAAGAAGGACACCTCGTCAAGATTCCAAAGAAAGGAGATCTGAGCAAATGTGAAAACTACAGAGGCATTACACTACTGTCAATACCAGGGAAAGTCTTCAACAGAGTGTTGCTGAACCGGATGAAGGATGCAGTAGACGCCCAACTTCGAGATCAACAAGCTGGATTCCGTAAGGATCGGTCGTGCACAGACCAAATTGCAACACTACGGATCATCGTCGAACAATCAGTTGAGTGGAACTCATCACTATACATCAACTTCATTGATTATGAAAAGGCATTCGACAGTGTAGATAGGAGGACATTATGGAAACTTCTTCGACACTACGGAGTTCCTGAGAAGATTGTCAACATTATCCGGAACTCATACGACGGACTACAGTGCAAAGTAGTGCATGGAGGACAGCTGACAGATGCATTCCAAGTAAGGACTGGAGTCAGACAAGGCTGTTTACTCTCTCCCTTCCTCTTTCTTCTGGTGGTCGACTGGATTATGAAGACCTCGACATCTGAAGGAAAACACGGAATACAATGGACAGCTCAGAATCAATTAGACGATTTGGACTTCGCAGATGACCTAGCCCTCCTATCACGTACACACGAACAGATGCAGATGAAGACAGCCAGTGTAGCAGCAGTCTCTGCATCAGTAGGCCTCAGCATACACAAAGGGAAAACCAAGGTCCTCAAATTCAAAGCGGAGAACAGCAATCCAATCACTCTTGATGGCGAAACTCTGGAAGATGTAGAGTCCTTCACATACCTAGGAAGCATCATCGATGAACAAGGAGGTTCAGATGCAGACGTAAAGGCGAGGATCGGCAAAGCAAGGGTCGCATTCCTACAATTGAAGAACATATGGAACTCAAAACAACTTTCAACCAATATCAAAGTGAGAATCTTCAATACGAACGTCAAGGCAGTTCTACTGTATGGAGCTGAAACTTGGAGAACTGTCTTGATGTTCGTATTGAAAAACCAGAAAAACGTCATAGTATGTGATATCGAAATATGAGTAGAGGCTGTCAAAAGTAACTGTTTAATTTATTTAACTCAGCTGATGAGAATATAGTAACTGTCAGTATTAATCAATGCTATTGACAATAAAAAGTCAATACACATTATTTGAATGCACTGAACGAACACTTATGTGAGGATAACCAATTTATCATTTAACGTCAAATATGCTTTCATAAAATTAAGTCCTTTATTTGCAAGTCTCCTTTCAGTTGTCGTGTACATACTTCTTCATTCTTCATATTCGGCTGTCATCGTAATTCCTCACTGTTTCCTTTTCTGTTTTTCGTAAATCAATCTGAAACCTTTGCTAACAGGCAGTCTATTTCATTTTGGTATTACAAACTACTTATATCTGTCAAAATAGGTAGCATACATCACGCGTTTATCCGTTTTTTAATGGTTGAATTAATCAAGTGTGATTTAAATGGATTGATATAAACCTCAGAACACCATACAATTCATCACATTTTATGCTGTTTGTACTGTTTTTCCTTTACACTATTGTAGATGAAATTTCATCGGCTTTCGCTTCTTCATCATCCCCATCTACTTCATCATTGTCATCGTTATCAAATAATAATCATGATCATCATAATAATAATTTAATATTAGCTACTGGGTCAGCATGTCCATCAAATCCTGGAATTGCATGTAGTCATGATTATTTATCAGTCGATGCTCGTATCTCTAATGTTTATGATGGTACATTAGCAATATACCAATAATTCGTTTTTGTTTAATCAATAATTCCACATTGAAAACAATCGCTACAAAGACAAAAACAAAATTAACAGAAATACAAATGACCAATTCATCATCATTATCTTCTTCTTCTTCTTCTTCATCTTCAATCTCCTCTGGATCATTTTCATTTAATTCAATAGATTCTAGTAAATTATATCCACCAGATGAATCATATTTAGTTGGGCAAATTTATGGTCCAATCAGTAATGTATACGGTTTACAGTTTACATCAAATTTAAATTTATTAGATCCATATATTATTCATGGAAAAGGCATAGTGTTAGAATATATTGGTAAGCATTAGTTTGTTTTTTGTTTATTACAGAGATTGTTTAAATGTTTATGTTATACACATGATGGACTGATTGTAGGCAGATAATCATTGAAAATGAGAAAACATTAAATGGCTATTTCATTCATTCTAGCATTGAACTGTTCAGTATTTTACACTGATGAACCATTCAAAGAATTTCAGACTTGATGGCGAGACATAAATCCTTATACTAACCAGTTGGAACCTAATGGTTGATGCTTGTGAAGACAGTCAGTCAGTCAGTCAACTTACAGCATTACGAAATCATGATCTAGTGACATTGATGTGTAGTTGCATCGGACTCGATATAACCGAACCACATTGATCATAGCCTGTTACTAGAACTTTAGGCATTACTTCTCAAAATTACTGACTGTTGAGGCTTACTGCGAGCTGACTCAAGTTATAAAAACGTAAACCTGATGTGTAGCTGATAAAAATACTGATTGGTTGTTTACCTAGCCAGAGTAGTAGATCGTCTGACAAGTATTAGATGTGTCATATGTTTTCTATCAGATTATTACTTCTTATTGTTCGTTATTGTCGTTGAAATATACTAATGTTCTAGTGTGATCAGTTACGTGTTCGTGATCAAAATTACATTGAAGTCTTGTAGAATGGACACTGGCATGGTATCTCGTATAGATATCTTGTTTTAATTTGAAGAATGAGAATTTCTGAAATTTTTGAGTTGACATTAATTTGATAACTATCAAAAGTCAAGATAAATTGAAACAAATGTACCCATTATCTTCAAGTCTCATTAGTGAAAATGACACCACCTAACCATTGAATAATTTCAAATTTCGTCATCGATTGATGATGTATTCAAATAACGAAATCTTTAGGGATAATTAATTCAACGTCAATACTTAGTGGTCGTTGATTTTCTTTTAAACGACAAGAGAATGACTTCAAAAGTACTCAACGAAATCGTTGATTTTTATTGATTGGTTAATTCACTGGTTTATTATATTATTCAGTTAATTATTTGTTATGATAGTGATTAGTGCACTCACCTTAACTTACCTTTCTAACTGAATACGTTTATTGAGATAGGTTAAATTGATTTTCAATAGTCTCTTTCTATTATCATAAAATGATGTACTACGACTTCAGGAACATCTTAAAATAAGTCATTAGTAATGAGCTGATTATTATTGCTAAGTCAAAGTAGTTTTATACGAATTAATTTAATTTATAGGTAGCATTTATCACAGATTGATCTTAGTCGAAGCACTACTGCTGTAACAGTGGTTCGGTGTTCAATATTTTTCGATAGCACTCTATGATCCATCTGGGATGAATATAATCTATAAATTAACCAATCAAGAGAGAGAGAGAAGACCCCATTCAACCTGGATTTAACAGTAATTGAATTTTTGTTTAAATCACCAACGTGTTAATTTCAATTAATCATACTAGAGATAATCCATTTTCTCTTCATAAAAGCTCTTCTCCTCTTGACTATGACTCATTAGAAAAAGTCATAACGACATTTGTTTGTTTGTTTGTTTTATTGTGTAAACATTGTTTTGCTTTATTAGTTAAACAGTTAGGTTCAATGTTCAAACTTCACTAATTTGTTCTTGATTTCAAAAAGACTATGTTATTTGTCTGACGATTAGTTCAGTCGTAATGTAGTGAACGAGAACACAAGTGGGGACAATAGAATGTATTTTAATACAACATAATAGAATATCTTAGTAAAATAGGAGAATCATACAATAAAAACTTTATTTACAAAATGTTAAATAAGTGTCTCAGATGTCATTGTTCCTGCATTTCTATACCAATTACTTTCTGTCCCCGTTCTTTCGTTTTTCGATCTTCTCGACCTTCTGTTACCAGACATTCTATTCCCGACTGACGTTTCAAAACGCTTCATATCTTTCTATCTACGGACTAATTCTTTCCTCCTGTATTATGTCCTTATATGCAATCTTTCTTTTATATATTATCACCAATCAGTTAACTACTTCTATGAATCCGGTGTTCATATTGTTGTGCTAATGAAGTGTGGCAACGTGGACCGATGCACACATGTGCCTGGTCCTACATTGTAGCTGACTGACTGACTTATACTACTTATTTCGATATAAGTAGCACACACCAAAGTGAATTGAATGGTATCGTAATCATCTGTTTCCTGCCAATGTGTTTCTCTTTGAATAAAATTATGATGGTGTAATTTTTGTAGGACAATAGAGGGAACTCTTTCGTTCTGTTTAATCAAGCTATGTTATGATTGTATTCACTACTATCATGAATAGATATACATTCTATAATGGAATTTTGATTATTGGCAGACGAAGAAATTTATGTAAATCAGCTACAGTCTTGTTACTATCAGATTTGCACACTAGAGTTCATGCGTATCTTTTCAGTCAATAACAATATAGTTTACGTTGCAGACTGACTATTAGTTAAACAACCATAGAAAACCAAGTGGTATGACTGGAGAGCTATTTCGTTCTACTATGGGACTCCGCATCAATATGTACCCCCAATCTTACCAACAGAGATCGAACACAGGATCTTAAAATTTCTCAGTAAGTGTGTGCCAATGAAAACTACCAGATTGGTATTCAGTGTTGAAATGTTCAATTAGTGCTCAAAAGGGTGTTTTATTTCCGTTCAGGTCATATTATTTATTGACAGAATGTAGAGAACCCTCTGAATATTTTCAACTATGTGTTCCTGAACCTACAGGAACTGGCACGGCCATAAGGTAGTAAGCTCTTCCACTCAAAATGTCTCACATAACCACGCGAATACAGCCACTCCCATGAAAGTCCTACTCACTGGTCTGTCGCTGCAGGAGCGCTGTTTACGAATTGAAGAAGACGAAAAGAAAATATACGGCGCTTTAGCCGGGTTGATGGACGCAGAGGGTCCATCTAAGTTAATTGGTGCACATGGACTCCATGATCTTGAGGGAACAATGGGTGTATGAACCTGTTGTTGGCCACCGGCTACCATGTGACTGCATCGTCTAGCGTTGATCCACTGTCCTGTAGGTTACACCTGTAGGTCAGAGGCTTGAGGAGTAGCACCTGAAGAAAACCACTTGTTTCAGCTTGAATGCCTGATCAGTATTACAACGCTCACACAAATCGAATGATGTGTGTGACGCATCTATACTTGCTGCCTCCTTATACCAGTATTTATGTGTTTAAATAAATAAAAACAATTCCTTCCAATGAGTTCTGAAAGTCTTGAGCTGAATATTATCAATTCATTTGTCGACTAATAAACAGATATATGTCATTAATTTGCGCTGGTTGCCCAGTTTGCAGTATTCATTAACAATCGTGAAATGAAATGGTTTTATTACGAATCATAATCCACCGGAACCCTGTCAATTGATACTTTGTCCCAAGGTATTATTTTGTTTAGAAATTATGTCTCTGCACTTTTAAAGAGTTTTAGCTAATGTTAAAACATCTACCTAGTGTTTTTCTCTATTTGTGTGTGGTAATTACACGGTTTAGTGTCATGTTCATGAACGAAATTATCGGTGAAAATGATTACGAAGTTTTTAGTTCAAACGAAGATTACTGAAAAGAAACAGAGTCTTTTTACTTAGGATAAAATAGTTAACCAATGTTTTCTAATTTTATATAAGTACTCTAAGAGAAAGTAATTTATGAAGAACATAACTAACAAATATTTTTCTCAAATCGAATATGTATGATTAGGGTGTAAACTAATAAATAAATCGATCAGACTATGACGTAATTAGAGATAAAGTTGGGCCTATAAACAGAGGTAATTGTGGCTAGAAGTGAGATCCAATACGCGCGTTTCATCCTGTCTGGGACTCGTCAGCTGGATACATCTGCATTCCAGAATTGATGTCCACTCTGGTACTCGACCTTACTACCGTCTGCTTGGAGCACCATCGCGTTATTCATTTAGCTACTGAGTTCGGATAGCCACTCATTTGTGCAATGGAATCACGTTTAATTCATAGAATACAGGTATACACATCTGATGAGTCCTAGATAAGACGAAAAGCACGTTCTGGATTCCACTGTTGACTAATATCCATTTTTGTTTATAATGCTTGTAGCTTAATGCGATATTGGAGATGTTCATATACAATTAAACACAGTTCATCAGTGCTAAAAATGTTTACAGCAACAACCCTTAGCGAAGCATGTAAGGGTGGTATTGAATCCAACAATACAAGTTTTATTGTAGGTTTGAAACTCTGAGATAATTTGCAGAAACAGATTGTTTGGATCACTGAATCTTGGGGTGGTCCGGTAAATGTCTCGCAAAAGACAAGAAAGGGTCAGGAAACTGTAAGAAACGGTTCCTTCAATCAGCGTTCACTTGACGTTTTAGCCGAAAATATCAAGGAAGTGAAACGTCAACTGCAAAGGTTCTGATTGGCTGATTGCTTCACTGCTGCTATGTTTAGTAGCATTCCAGAATCCTCTAGCAGCCCAAGGACATTTAAAATATTATAAAAACTCTGTATTTCCTGTATTAAAATGAACCTTGGAGTAAACTACTTCTCGCATACCTTAAGTCTTCTCTCTCGTGTTCAGGTCGTTGTATAGTTCTAGCTTGTGGGTTACAGAATAGCTTAGGAGACGAACATAGCGTTCAATCCGCAAGGCTTATCACTGAAATACTAATTTACAAGTACACCTCGATTTATGTTCATTATGATTAGAAGTCGGCGTATGTATCCGATTAGTTAAATGAATAGTGGCGAACATATGCTTTATCGACGTAATTATTGTCTTTCTATCTGTTTTATGGATTATTAGTCAGTGCGATCTCAGTAGAGCATTGGTCGTTGATAAAAGCAACTCTTTTGTTGAACAAAATTAATTCTAGTATCCAATAATGTCTATGTAGTTTGTTTAATAATAAGTACGCTAGGGTGATTATATTGCAAGTTAATTTTGCAAATTTCAAAATAAATCAATCTTAACTCCTTCAAATTTACTCCATATCAGTCGTAAACCATCTGT